GCAGATCATGTGGCTAAATATTTGAATTGCCAGCAAGTCAAAGTCGAGCATCAAAGCCCTGATGGCCTAGCTCAAGATATAGAGATACCACAGTGGAAATTTGAGATGATTAATATAGATTTAGTAGTAGGTCTACCTCGCACATACCGTAAGCATGATTCAGTTTGGGTTATTGTAGACTGACTGAAAAAGTCCGCCAATTTTCTACCAGTAAAGACGACAGATTCCGCAGAGCAATATGCGAAGTTGTACATCAAAGAAAGAGTTTGATTGCATGATACTCCAGTTTCAATCATATCTGACATAGGCCCTCAGTTCACGGTGCATTTTTGGCAAGCATTCCAGAAAAGATTAGGTACCAAGGTCAATTGAGCACTACTTTCCATCCACAGACCGATGGCCAGGCAGAAAGGACCATTCAGACTCTCAAAGATATGTTGCGTGCATGTGTTATAGATTTTTGAGGTAATTGGGATGATTACTTTTCACTTATAGAATTAGCTTACAATAACATCTATCAGGTCAGCATTGATATGGCTCCTTATGAAGCGTTGTATGGGCGAAGATGTAGGTCTCCAGTGGGTTGGTTTGAACCAACAGAGGTGTCGTTGATTGGTCTAGAGTTTTTTTGTGAGGCCTTAGAGAAAGTTAAGCTAATCAGAGAAAGGCTGAAAGCGGCTCAGAGTCGTCAAAAGTCTTATTCTGACAAGAGGCATCGTGACTTAGAGTTCATGGTTGGTGATAAGATGTTTTTGAAATTTTCACCAATGAAAGGAGTTATGAGGTTTGGTAAGAAAGGGAAACTTAGTCCTAGATTTGTCGGACCTTATGAAATTATAAAAAAGAAAGGAAACGTGGTTTATGAGCTGGCTCTGCCCGTTGAGTTGTCCTCTGTTCATCCTGTCTTTCATGTGTCTATGCTTAAAAAATACATTCATGATGAGTCGCATATAATACATGCCGATACCATAAAAATTAAAGAAGGCTTGACTTATGAAGAGGTACCTATAGGAATTCTCAATAAGCAAGTAAGAAAGTTGAGAACAAAAGATATATCATTGGCAAAAGTTTTATGGAGTAATCATGATTCGAACTACGTGGGAGGTCGAGGAAGATATGAGAAAGAAGTATCCATATTTATTTGAGGAACAAGGTATGTGAACCTAGGTTTCGCTTGGCATTTATATTTCATTTATTAAATACAAGTTAGCATGTGTTTATGTCCTTACTAGATTATACTTAGTTGTTGAAGTAATTTAGTTCTGTCAGAGTATATTTAGTTATTTAACAATTTAGTACCATGCCATAGTATATTTAATTCATTAAAGTTATTTACTTTTTGCAGAAGTGTTGTGCTTTAGATTTTGGTTGGTTATTTTGGTACCTCCTTGCCGGATTGTGAGTAAATTAGTTTATGAGTTGTGTATGGTGCCTATGAATGGTCTGTTATGGTATATTTGGTTGTTGTTGGTGTAGTTATGGTATTAGTGACAGGGATATTTCTTGGATAGTCAAATTTACAGGGAGACTCTGCCGAAAGTTTTGAAAATTTAGGGAGTTAGCCAAAATTTTGAGTCCCTTGGGAAACTTAGTAGTGCTAAGAAAACTTAAGAAGTTCAAGGACTTAAGAAATAATTATTAGCTTAAGAATAAGGCCCTAGCAACATTCGAGGACGAATGTTTTTAAGGAGGGAAGATTGTAACACTTCTCAAATCTATAAAAGTTTCAAGACACGCTAAATATAGAATTTAATTTTTTTTCCCCTTAAATTATATTTCTATTACGTATTTAAACCCTTGTGATTGATTTTGAGTTACTTCTCTATTTATAAATAATTAGATATGCAATTAGAGAAATATTAATAATTATAATATTATTATTTATTAAAAGTAGGTATAATTAAATACTAGTTAAGTCGGTAAAAAAAGGAAAACAAATAAAAGAACGCGTGACAGCCTTAGCTCATAAAGGGCTGTTGGAAGTAAGAGGTGTAAATAACCTTACAAGAACCAAACAGAATTAATATTCTGTTTGCTCAAGAAACAGAGGCAACGAACTATTCACGCAGGCAATGAAAATTCTAGGATTCTTTACGAATCACTAATTCTTGAACTCAGGTATATAAAGATCCGTATTGTCAATTATTCTAAAGTAGTAGTAAGAATTGAATAGTTAATTCCCTTCTTTCTCTGTATCAACATTAAATTTTATGTCTAGGTGTGAAACTTTAAAATTAATTAAAATGCACTGGTTGTTGTAGAATCGATTGTTTGACGGGTATAAATTGGACTGGAGCCTACGTATTGGCTCGAGGAGTTTTGAGGTGAGTGGATATAACACTTTACTAAAGTGGTTCTACTCACAAAAATATGCCCACAAAGTGTTTGATAAAATGTTAAAGAGTGAACACGTGCTTAATTGGAACGAGTGAGTACATGTTGACTAAGTATATTCTAGTTAAAGCTTATATATTTCACTCGACAAGTATAAGCGTCTATTTTTATGCTTTATTACATGAACTTACATGTTAAAGTTTCAAGAATTAGAGAAAATTTTTAAAAGTACTTTGAGTAATTTTATTTCATACTTATGCTATGTGTACTCTCAAGAATATTATTATGGATATTGCTGGATCACTTTCCAAAAATATTTAGAGTTGAAAAGTCACAAGAATAAGTTTTAGAAAAAAAAGATTTTTGGGAGTATCCTCTATTCTGAGAAGGGGTCATCGTCCAGGCCGAGGCTCCTGATCAAGGCGTTGACTTCCTGAAACTACTTGTGCCAAAGTTGGGAACACACGAGCCGAGTGTCTCATTGCTGAGAATTTGCCTAACCAGGCTAAGGTATGACACGTGAGCACTGAGAACCATGAAACGAGTGGCACCTCGTGGATTGGGACTAGTCGATCAGGTCAGGATCGAACCTGTGCCGGTCACACGGTGACTAAGACAGAAATAAGCCAGGATAGTTGGAACTCCCGAAGTATAAAGTGAAGTAATTATTTATAAGAAAGAAAAAGAAAAGAATTTCTTTTAGAATATCCATAAACTGCTATTATGCAATTATTTTAGAATTGCTCTTATAAGCTTTATATTTTACATGCATTTGGAGTCTTTGCTCGTAATGTATATTTTGTTAAAGTTTCGTCCCCTGTCGTTGAGACTCACTGAGTACAATGAATGGTACTGACGTTCTCTTTTGGAAACCTACGTTGGTATGCGGTACAACATAGGAACCGATTTTGCAGGCGAGCAGGTTATACGTTAGGACTTCCCTCTCTTCCAGTACTATTGGTGAGCTCTGCTTTTGTTCGTGGAGTATTCCTTTGAGTCATATTTATTTAGTTATATTTTTGTTTACTTGGAGAACTAGCCAGACAATCTCATGTCCTGAGCAGTGTGTCAGTTTATCAGTAGAGGCTTCATAGAGATTATCGATGGGTTAAGATTCAGATGTTCTCGATAATAAATTAGCAGTATTTCAGTGGTTACTACGAATAAAATTTTGGGGTTGGTTTATTTTAGATATTTAAATTAATTAGAAGTATTTGGTTAAAGTATTGCCTTGTTGCATATAAAGTTTGAAGTTATAATAGACTTGATAAGCGCAGATGGTTCGCTGTGTCAAGTTTAGTGATCGGGTGCCGGTCATGGCTTGTTAAGAAAAAGGGTCGTGACAAACTAGTCCGAAAATATTATACAAACTCGCTCGCACGATCAAAATACCTAAATAACACCTAGAACCACGAATCTGACACCAAAACGAATAAAAATTTCGATAAAACTTAAGAACTTTCATTTTAACAACTAGATGACCAAACTTTGCAGACAAGTCATATATACAGTAATAAACATATACCAAGTTTCGAAACTAAAATCCGGACCCGATAGCAACCAAGTCAAATTTCAGTCAAATTTATAAATTCTTTAAACCTTTAAACATCAAATTTTCAACAAATTGCGATAGCTCGAGCTAGGGAGCTCCCAATTCGATTTTGGGCATATGCCCAAGACTCAAATCACAATACGGATCCACCGGGACCGTCAAAATACAGATCCGGGTCTGTTTGCTCAAAACATTGATCGAAATCAACTCAAATAAATATTAAGGCACGAATTCACATTCTTATCAATTTTTCACATAAAAGCCTTCCGGAAAGAGTCACGGACTGCGCACCAAATCGAGAAAGGCTAAAAGGAGTTATTTGAGGTTTCGAAATACAAAATTAAGGGTTAAATCTCTAGATGACCTATCGGGTCATCACAGCTTCTTAGCTAATGCCAATAAATTTGGAAAGATTTATAGTTTTTGGTCCTTCATTTTTTCTCTAGGAGGCGGGGATAGGTAGAATAGAAAATTAACTGTATTGTGTAGGTATTATGTTTGGTTAGTTAGTGAATAATGTTGCCTACATTTACAATGACAAAAGTATCTTTATCATGAAGAAAATTAAAATTTAGTTGTTAGCACTCACATCATGCTTTTCCTAATAGGCTTATTAATGCACAATTAAGGAATTGGTCCACCAGTATGGTTTTTGGTTTACAAATGGACCATTAATCAAAATAAAACAACAACAACAACAACAAATTATATGAGAAAATCAAATTGTCCCAACTGTTTAAGTTGTTCGAATATGGAACAGTTAATGCTCTTCTTCTTTTTCAGTAGACGAGATAATTCATATAAATCAAGATAGTTAAAAATTTGGGTCCGGAGTTTCAATTTCACTAATTAAGAAAATATTATTTTACCCTTAGCGACATAATTTTATAATCATACAAATATCTATAAGCTATTTTAGGAAACAAATTCAAAAGTCTTCTTTGTTACTTAAAAAGCTTGCCCAATTAAATACTATCACATAAAATGAGAGGGAGAATATATTTAGAAGCCAAAAAAAAAAAAAAAAAATGAGAGATACACAATGCTTAAGCCCTGCAGAATTAAACTCCCGTTCCCTCCCAAAAACAAAGAAATAAAGCAGAAGTTGTAAGTGTGGAAATGTAAAACATATGCTGAAATTATTTATTTGTATAGTGAAGTATTACAAGATAAAACTGTAATTAATAAGCACAACATACTCTGAATTATTACATAAAAACAACACAAATAAAAAGATAATAAAACATCATCTATGTATAAACCTAGTTCTTAGGAACCCAAACAATGTGATCCTCAGGAAGGAAATGGCAAACAGGAACAGATCCAGGTGTAACCTTAAGAACTTTAAAAGCCAAATGCTTTGGATTCCAAGCTGAAGTATCCTTATGGCAAACAGCTACTGCTTTAGCCTTTGTTCCATCAGCACCAACCAAAGAAACCATGTATGACTCTGTTGTCTCTGTTTTATGACAGTAGAAAACTGCATATGCATAATTCTGCTTGTGGCAAACTACAGCATCAGATTTCCCATTTCCCATTTTCTTGGCTCCTAGAATTGTGTATTTCTGCATTTGAGTTTCCTTCTCTGTCTCTGTTGACACTGGTTGCACTTCGTTTCCTAACTTTGATGTGCTGAAATCAACCATGGATTCTAATGAAGTGGCACAGTATTTCTCTTCTCCTTTAATACCTGTAGTTCGAAAATAAAATGTACAATAAGTAAGAAAGAGATATTGTCCTTATGGCCATTTTTCGAAGGGACAAATTTATAGAATTGAAAGATGGCTATTCAGAGCAGTATTGTTGTTACTTGTTCGTTTGAATATATAACATAAATTTACATTTTATATTTAAATTCAAGTTTCAAATAAACGTGAAAATTTCAAGTCTTTAGTAGTAGTAGTATATAAAGCCTTCGAACTCATTTTCATCTTCTAACTAGGAGTTTAAGTACACCATCAGGCAAGTTGATGACAATAACAGGTAACGATCTTCATATCAAACCTAATATATAATCAGAAAAATAGAGTAATATAATCAATTAAATTGCACTGATATAGTGTAAAAACATTTTTTTTTTTTTTTGGTGCGAAGGATAAAAGCTTTTTACACAATTAGTATATACACTTAAATCCATCTAATTAACAATACCTGGCTCTTCACATTCTTGGACAGTCTGCTTCAAGATCCGAGCTTCTTCAGAGTCGGGCTTAACTGACAACTGGTTAATAATTTCTGGCATCTTGTTTGACGAAAAGGGAATAGAATTTGCGACTTGACGAGGCAAGAAAGTGGCGGCATGATTTGTAGTTTTCACAAATTGCAAGTTCATGTTACTCCCTTGGTGCAAGTCTTTCTCAAGGAAAAAAAGTGCGACGTTTGGGTTATCGTGAAGTTGATCATCTTTGGCGGCGTAATTGTAAACAAACGGTGATGGTCCGGGACGTACACCGACGTAGACTGGCGGCTTTCCGTGGTGGCCGGGGGTGGTGACGCCAACTCCTCCTTTGCCGACGCCGACGTGGGTTCCTCCGCCGGTGCTTACGCCGACGCCTTTGTGACCGACGTTGACGTTGGTGCCGCCCCTGCCGGAGTGACCCTTGCCGGTGTTTACGCCTACCCCTTTGTGGCCAACGTTGACGTTGGTGCCGCTGCCGGAGTGCCCCTTGCCGGTGTTGACATTTACTCCGCCTTTGCCTACTTCCACTGAAGTTCTTTTGTCCTCCGTCAATCCTGGGAAATTTATATTTTTTGCCAATAATTTCAGCCTTATGGTGATTAATACGTTTAGAGTTTATTATTCTCATTTTCTGATAAGCAACGTACAACTTGGTAAATGTTACTAATTAACTTGTTACTACATGTTAAATTAAACTCTATATATTGATAATTCAAAAGATTGTTATTACACAGTATAAAACTTCCAGTACCCTATGTATATTTAAGATTATTTATACCAAAATTTGGTTTATGGTTTTAATTTTCTTAAGATTAGCTTTTATATAGATCTCTTGATGCATAATATTGACAATGTAATTACAGGTTTTATTACAAAAATAAGTTGGTGACGTGAAAAAGATGGATGAATAATTAACAGGACGGTGTATAAAGGTTATACTCATATTTCAAAACACCATATTCCTTTTTTTTTTTAAAAAACATCTAAGTAATTTAATCCAATTTTATTTTATCTAAATCCAAGCTATGGTCATTTTAACTAGCTGACTATTACATATTAAACCTTTGAATTGCAACTACTGAAGCATTCGTACTAAGAAACTTTTTAAACACTAAACGGGGCTGCGAAAAATAAAAACTAACTCCATAATTAGTATTACTACTAACCAGTTGGCTGAAGAGAATCTTTGATTGCCTTGGGCATGGGAGTATTAGGCAGCTTAGTATTCCAATAAGTTTGACCGCTCGATGCAGGAGGAAGAGCTGCATAACTTGCCACTAGTGCCAACTGAAATATTAACCCAAACAAAAAATATCAAACATTATATAGCTTCTTTAAAATAACTAACGTACTATAAATCAAGCAAAAATAACATTGTACTTACCGAAAGGTAAGTGAGGATGTGAAGGAGCTTCAACTCCATGGTTGAACTTAAACAGAGAAAGAAGATAGAGAACTCTGATGAATTTGAATGGATAGTTCGATTGCTAACAAGTTAATTAAAAGCAAAGTTGAGATGGAAAGAATGGATAGTTTGGAGCACTATTTATAAGTGAATAATATTACTAGAATATCATAGATAGAGTAAAAGAATAAGAAAAGCAACACATCACCTATAACAATTAAATTACTTCATCTGTCTTTGGCATTCCGCCTTACAGCATTGAATGCAATTTAGCAAACTGTACGTACGTGATGTGAGGGTTCCTATCAGAAGGTTGGGAGCTTGGAGGTTGGCTGGTACTTTGTGACATCGATTCATAGGTACATTCTGTCTCTAACAGTTCAAGTATAATTGAACTAGTGGTAGTTGACACTACGTACATCACTAGTGAGATCAGTGGCGGATCCAGGATTTTAAAATTATGGGAGTTTGTCGATAAAAATTCTAAAATAAGAGGAAAAATGAATTTAGTTGTGGGTGCTCACTGAATATTTAACCAAATATTTTATAATTTTCTATATAAATTTACTAAATTTGGTCAAAGATAATGGGTGCTTGAGCACCAGCAAGTGGCCATATAAATCCGCCGCTGAGTGAGATTTCACTGGATCGTTGTTGTTATATTTCAAGTATAATGCTACTTTTGTACTTTCCTTGTCTTCACCTTTTCCAAAATAAGAGTAGTAGAAAATTTGTATTGTTCAGGCCATCTCCAACCTTCCCTCATTTTTCCATAATGGGGCAACTTTTGGGGTAATGAAGCTCCAACCCTTCCCGACTTTTTTCCCCAAAATGGGGAATGAATAGTATTCCCTCAAATATGGGGTACACTATTCATGTATATTTTATTATTTAATCTTTTAATTTATCTTTTTATATATAACTAATTATGTTTATGTAATATCTTTATAATATTAATTTTACATCTTAGCTTTGGCGTATAATTTTAATAAATTAATTTTCGTGCATTTAATATTTTTATGTAAAACATGTAAGTTAATTTTATTATAATTTATAATTGTATAAAAAATATGTAATCATCTCAAAAAATGAATGGTGCAAATATAAAATATTAGATGTTGCTAAAATTGAATGGTGCGAATATAAAATATTTGATGCTACTAAAATTGAAATGTGAAAATTAAAAATACATTAAGATTGGAAATACATGACAATTGAAAATACATTAAATTAAAATACATAAATTTATGTAGTATTTCGAATGAATTTTATCGTTATGTAATATATATTTAATTAATCTTGTATTACAATAATTTTACTTTTATTTGAATTATTAGTTAATCTGTAATAATTGCTTACAAATTATATTATTTAAATATGAAATTATTTTAATGAAAATAAAAGATGGAATTTGTTTAATGGAAATTAAAAAATAAATTGAAAAAACAAGATAATAATATAATATAGAAGAGAGAGAAGAATATAAAAAAGTTTGGGGAAAAAAAAATAAGGGAATGGTTGGAGTAAGTTGTCCCCAAAATGGGAAAATTCCCATTTTGGGGACCAAAAATTGGATAAAGGTTGGAGATGCCCTCAGTTAGGTTTTTGAGTAGATGCATTTTGAAATCTAGGAAAGGATAAGTTACTGGGTCCATGACAGGTTATTTATAGAAAGAATTACAAGAAAATACACTTGACATCACACCATAATAAAAAATGGTCTATGTTTTTAAGTTTTACCCTACCTAGCCCATAATGTACATATTTTGAAAGCACTAGCAAATTCAAAATTTATGGAGTTAAATTTGCGTGCTCACAACCATTGCATTCACTCTCTTTTCTTCTCACATCTTCTACATATGCTTCAAGGGGCGATCCGCTATTATTGCTTCTCCCCTGTATCATCTGGTTGCAATGTAAGAAAATTGAAGAGTAGAAGTTCACCATTGAAGGCTATTCAAAGCTTTGCTTTCGAAAATATGATTTTTTGAGTTTGTTAGTTGTTTTGGTTGGGTGTTGTTCCAATTAATTGAAAATATCAGAAGGAGTTCAAAATTTCAATTTGAAGTGATTTTGAGTAGATTTGAACAAAATTTGACTTAAATTTCAGAGAAAAACGCAAGGAAGAAGACGCAGTCAGTTTTTTGTATAATCTTGTATAATAGTGTATATGGGTGTATAAACACATCTTATACACTATTATACACTTTTATACATATTTATACAAGCGTCTGTAGACGAACTTCTTCCGCGATTTTTAGTTACAATTCTTGTTCAAAATCAGTCCAAATCTCCATTAAATGACTTCAAATTTTATATACAACCTCCTTATACTATTTCTAACAATTCTAAATAACACCCACTCCAAATTCTCAGAAAATCAAATTCGGAATCTAAACCCACATATTTAAGCTTGTTAAAAATCTAATTTTCACCATTTAAATTGATTTGATTTGTTGAACTAATATTTGAGTTATAGTTGGTGATTCGAAAATTAACTTAAAAGCTTGAGCAATCTTTTTTAAAAAATAAATAGTAATTTTGAGAATTTATTGGAGTTGGATGTTGAATCTTAGCCTATTATTTTTGGGCTAGTTAGTTATAAATTGAAATATGAGCTATAAAATTAAAAAGTAGGGATCCCGAAATTTTCCCTTATTTATACATACTAAGTAGATTTTTTAATAATAAAAGGTCTGAGCGGAAGTTACTCTGTCGAACTCGTATTTAGACTTGTAGCTCAGCCATTTATTTAGTACGAAGGATAATGCTTTTCACAAAAATAAGTCCTTTTTTTTTTTGCAAACAAACACAAAAATTATCTTCGAATTTTTTTTTTATTAAAGAGGAAAAATTACTTTTGTTCCGTTATGTTTCTCTCCAATAGTGCAGTTGAAATAGTTTCTAAGTTATAAAGATTGTTGAATAATGAGACAAAAATTCTTCTATGATTTTTTTCAGAAAATTCCTTCGTACCAACCGCACCCTCAATTCTACTATGGACGGTGCACAGGATAACTTCGAAATTTTAAGAATTAACAAACTGAAAAACACCTCTTTATCCAAACTAGGGGCGGATCTAGAGTATGATATATGGGTTTCTGAGAATCCAGTAACTTATGCTTAGACCCTGTACTTTTGTTAAAAGATTTATTAAATTTCTATAAATATTTATTTGTGAACCTAGTTATTATTGTATATATATTAATTTGAAATTGCGACAAGAATCTATAAACTTAAAATCCTGGATCCGCGTCTATCCAAAACTACCAAGAAGAAGAAGTAACGTCACACTTTTCGAAACAAACCGGCCTAAGGCTGTGGGTGAGGGAACTGGTCAAACTTTGTGATGCTGGTTTGGATCTGTTATGCATGTCGCATTTTTATTTTCCTAATTCACTTGCATTGGGGTTTAGTTATTACTGTAAATACAATATTAAATTAAACGAATATTGTCCATCATTGATTAGGGGCGGCTCTAGGGTAAGGGAAAGGTAGCTCTTGCCTTGGGCCGCAAATATTAAAGGCCCCAAAGTTGTAAAATACTATATTATTATGAGCCCGTTTGGCTTAGCTGATTTAGAGTAGCTCATAAGCATTAGGTGCTGAAAAGCACTTTTAAGTACTGAAGCTGATTTAAAAAATAAGCAGTTACGTGTTTGGATAAAAGTGCTGAAATTGATAATAAGCAGCTGAAGAACTAGCTATACGAAGAGTTTTGTTCTAAAAAGAAGTATTTTAGGGATAGAATAGTAAATATTTTGGTCAAACCTAAAGTGCTTATAAGCTGAAATTTGATAAGTTGGGGGAGATCAACTTATGACTTTTAGCTTATTTTTGGCTTATAAGCACTTAACTTATAAGCACTTTTAATTTTACCAAACGCGTAGATAAGCCAAAAAGTGCTTATAAGCTAGTTTGACCAGCTTATAAGCTTAGCCAAACACCCTCTATATATAATATATAATTTATGTAATTATTATTAATAAATAAAATTTTAATAATTTTTAGTTAGGTTGAGATAGTATAGTTGAGTGAGTAATAACAACAAATTTTCTTTTATTAAATTAAATACATATATTTACCTTCTTATCAGTTACTATAATTTATCTTCCTCTCTGTATACACCTTTTTTCATGTTCCTATCAAATTTACTCTCCAATTTAATTCAGTTTATCTTTTCTATTCTTTTGTCATATTTAAGTGATCCCTACTTCAGAAAGTAAATTATTTCTTGTCTCATTAATTAAGAAATTTTTTAGGGGAAGTAGTACAAGGCTCGAATGCGGTGGATAATGGGCGAACCCCTATGTTATTTCACTAAGTATCATGTTTTTATCTACGGAAGAGTTTGAAATCATGACATGAGCTTAACACATAAATCAAACGCGAAACTCTTACATTAGACCAAGCCATGTGAGCCGTTGTCTTATTATTATATAAGTTTTATGAAATAGTTTAAAGGCCTCTTAATATTAATATAGTTTTATGAACAAAGTACTTTTTTAATTAGATTATTACTTCTTCCAGAAACTTAAGTGAACAACCGCGTACTAGCTTCGACATAAGTGTATTGCCACCCATGACCTTGACTTGAGCAGTGGTGAGTTCAAAAATTAAACTTTATGTGGCCAGGAAATTATAGATTATATTTATTATTTACTATAAATTTAAGAAATTTTTATACATAAATATTCAAAAATTAAACTTTATGTGGTCAGGTTTTTAATATTGAATTATTGTATGTTTAAAATTATAGATTATTTTTATTATTTATTATAAATTTAAGAAATTTTTATACATAAATATTCAAAAATTAAACTTTATGTGGTCAGGTTTTTAATATTGAATTATTGTATTTTTAAAATTATAGATTATTTTTATTATTTATTATAATCTTAAGAATTGTTTAGAGTGTTCATAACAGTAGTATTGGCACGCAGTCTCGCTTTTTGTTGGTAGTAGGTTTTCATGACTAACCGTTATTTTCTTTCATTGTTGATCACCTTACTGTCTTGTTATTTTTTTTTCTGCTTTTATATGCTTTTTGGTACTGTTCCTTCTTGTCTATATTTTCATCAATATGGCTTATGCTTTCTTGAGCCGATGGTCTATTGGAAACAGCCTCT